TCTCCATTCCAGCCTCTTTCTAAGTCCTTCTTATCTCTTTTGGCCTTCAGCGCGGACCAATTTTTGGAAGCTTTGCTGCATGTGCCTGCACTTGATTGCATATGGGGAAGATATTTTCCTTTTCTGTTTTTATTTTTTTTTGGTGATTAAGCCATGTCCCTCATATCTTCCCCTCCAAGTTTTGTCTTCCTCCTTGCCTTTTTCCCCTGCTTTTGCAACATCTGGGAGCTTAGTTTTGGCATCTTTTGGTCCTTTGCAATGCAACTCATTTCTTCACAGACCATTTCTTGAAGGCTCTAAAACTCCCCATTTTCTGGTTTTTTTCAGTTGCATTTCATTGGATCCTATCTCCTTTCCAGAGTGTTTGTAAGCCTTTCTTTTGGGGGTCGCAAGATTCCCTTTCCCTTCCCGAAAGGAAATGAAATTTCCTTTCGGGAAGGGAAAGGGAATCGTGCGATTTCAATGGGCACCATGAGAGGAATCTTTGGTGCATGTCCCTGCACGTGATGACATGCCATGCCTTTTGATGGCTTTGACTTTGGGAAAGATTTTTTCTTTTTTTTTTTCCAGTTTTTTGCAGCATCCATGCCATGACTTTTCTATCTTCCCCTCCAAGGTTTTTCTTCCTCCTTGCCTTTTTCCCCAGCTTTTGCAACATCTGGGAGCTTCCTTTTGGCATCTTTTGGTCCTTGGCACTGCTCTGATAGAACCCCGGTGCATTTTCCTCTTCTCACTAAATTGACCAAATTTCCCAATTTTCTTTTTTTTTCTCCTCCAATTGCTATTCCTTTGAAGGGATCTCCATTCCAGCCTCTTTCTAAGTCCTTCTTATCTCTTTTGGCCTTCAGCGCGGACCAATTTTTGGAAGCTTTGCTGCATGCGCCTGCACTTGATTGCATACGGGGAAGATATTTTCCTTTTCTGTTTTTATTTTTTTTTGGTGATTAAGCCATGTCCCTCATATCTTCCCCTCCAAGTTTTGTCTTCCTCCTTGCCTTTTTCCCCTGCTTTTGCAACATCTGGGAGCTTAGTTTTGGCATCTTTTGGTCCTTTGCAATGCAACTCATTTCTTCACAGACCATTTCTTGAAGGCTCTAAAACTCCCCATTTTCTGGTTTTTTTCAGTTGCATTTCATTTGATCCTATCTCCTTTCCAGAGTGTTTGTAAGCCTTTCTTTTGGGGGTCGCAAGATTCCCTTTCCCTTCCCGAAAGGAAATTTCATTTCCTTTCGGGAAGGGAAAGGGAATCTTGCGATTTCAATGGGCACCATGAGAGGAATCTTTGGTGCATGTCCCTGCACGTGATGACATGCCATGCCTTTTGATGGCTTTGACTTTGGGAAAGATTTTTTCTTTTTTTTTTTCCAGTTTTTTGCAGCATCCATGCCATGACTTTTCTATCTTCCCCTCCAAGGTTTTTCTTCCTCCTTGCCTTTTTCCCCAGCTTTTGCAACATCTGGGAGCTTCCTTTTGGCATCTTTTGGTCCTTGGCACTGCTCTGATAGAACCCCGGTGCATTTTCCTCTTCTCACTAAATTGACCAAATTTCCCAATTTTCTTTTTTTTTCTCCTCCAATTGCTATTCCTTTGAAGGGATCTCCATTCCAGCCTCTTTCTAAGTCCTTCTTATCTCTTTTGGCCTTCAGCGCGGACCAATTTTTGGAAGCTTTGCTGCATGTGCCTGCACTTGATTGCATATGGGGAAGATATTTTCCTTTTCTGTTTTTATTTTTTTTTGGTGATTAAGCCATGTCCCTCATATCTTCCCCTCCAAGTTTTGTCTTCCTCCTTGCCTTTTTCCCCTGCTTTTGCAACATCTGGGAGCTTAGTTTTGGCATCTTTTGGTCCTTTGCAATGCAACTCATTTCTTCACAGACCATTTCTTGAAGGCTCTAAAACTCCCCATTTTCTGGTTTTTTTCAGTTGCATTTCATTGGATCCTATCTCCTTTCCAGAGTGTTTGTAAGCCTTTCTTTTGGGGGTCGCAAGATTCCCTTTCCCTTCCCGAAAGGAAATGAAATTTCCTTTCGGGAAGGGAAAGGGAATCTTGCGATTTCAATGGGCACCATGAGAGGAATCTTTGGTGCATGTCCCTGCACGTGATGACATGCCATGCCTTTTGATGGCTTTGACTTTGGGAAAGATTTTTTCTTTTTTTTTTTCCAGTTTTTTGCAGCATCCATGCCATGACTTTTCTATCTTCCCCTCCAAGGTTTTTCTTCCTCCTTGCCTTTTTCCCCAGCTTTTGCAACATCTGGGAGCTTCCTTTTGGCATCTTTTGGTCCTTGGCACTGCTCTGATAGAACCCCGGTGCATTTTCCTCTTCTCACTAAATTGACCAAATTTCCCAATTTTCTTTTTTTTTCTCCTCCAATTGCTATTCCTTTGAAGGGATCTCCATTCCAGCCTCTTTCTAAGTCCTTCTTATCTCTTTTGGCCTTCAGCGCGGACCAATTTTTGGAAGCTTTGCTGCATGTGCCTGCACTTGATTGCATATGGGGAAGATATTTTCCTTTTCTGTTTTTATTTTTTTTTGGTGATTAAGCCATGTCCCTCATATCTTCCCCTCCAAGTTTTGTCTTCCTCCTTGCCTTTTTCCCCTGCTTTTGCAACATCTGGGAGCTTAGTTTTGGCATCTTTTGGTCCTTTGCAATGCAACTCATTTCTTCACAGACCATTTCTTGAAGGCTCTAAAACTCCCCATTTTCTGGTTTTTTTCAGTTGCATTTCATTTGATCCTATCTCCTTTCCAGAGTGTTTGTAAGCCTTTCTTTTGGGGGTCGCAAGATTCCCTTTCCCTTCCCGAAAGGAAATGAAATTTCCTTTCGCGAAGGGAAAGGGAATCTTGCGATTTCAATGGGCACCATGAGAGGAATCTTTGGTGCATGTCCCTGCACGTGATGACATGCCATGCCTTTTGATGGCTTTGACTTTGGGAAAGATTTTTTCTTTTTTTTTTTCCAGTTTTTTGCAGCATCCATGCCATGACTTTTCTATCTTCCCCTCCAAGGTTTTTCTTCCTCCTTGCCTTTTTCCCCAGCTTTTGCAACATCTGGGAGCTTCCTTTTGGCATCTTTTGGTCCTTGGCACTGCTCTGATAGAACCCCGGTGCATTTTCCTCTTCTCACTAAATTGACCAAATTTCCCAATTTTCTTTTTTTTTCTCCTCCAATTGCTATTCCTTTGAAGGGATCTCCATTCCAGCCTCTTTCTAAGTCCTTCTTATCTCTTTTGGCCTTCAGCGCGGACCAATTTTTGGAAGCTTTGCTGCATGTGCCTGCACTTGATTGCATATGGGGAAGATATTTTCCTTTTCTGTTTTTATTTTTTTTTGGTGATTAAGCCATGTCCCTCATATCTTCCCCTCCAAGTTTTGTCTTCCTCCTTGCCTTTTTCCCCTGCTTTTGCAACATCTGGGAGCTTAGTTTTGGCATCTTTTGGTCCTTTGCAATGCAACTCATTTCTTCACAGACCATTTCTTGAAGGCTCTAAAACTCCCCATTTTCTGGTTTTTTTCAGTTGCATTTCATTGGATCCTATCTCCTTTCCAGAGTGTTTGTAAGCCTTTCTTTTGGGGGTCGCAAGATTCCCTTTCCCTTCCCGAAAGGAAATGAAATTTCCTTTCGGGAAGGGAAAGGGAATCTTGCGATTTCAATGGGCACCATGAGAGGAATCTTTGGTGCATGTCCCTGCACGTGATGACATGCCATGCCTTTTGATGGCTTTGACTTTGGGAAAGATTTTTTTTCTCTTTTAAATAAGATCGGGCAATGATTAATCTTATATTCTTTCATGTTTAAAACTTTTAACGATGCATTCTGATACCCAGAGATTTAGTTTCAGGCAAGAGGAATATTTGGTTATCTCTAAGCAAATCTTAGATGAATATTCACAGATATTTAATTTAATAAGCTGAGTAAAACACAAGCGACAATTTTTATCAAATCTTTTTGTAGGAAAAATCCAGCCAATAATAAAGCTTTAGAATTATTGAAAATTGAGTTTGAATCGGAATGTGAGGGTTATCCTTTGAGTTCATAGTATCATGGAACCATGGAATGGTTTGAGTTGGAAGGGACCCTAAAAGTAATCTAATCCTAGCTACCCTGCTGTGGGTAGGGACACCTTCCACTAGACCAGGTTGCTCAGAGCTCCTTCTAACCTAACCTTGAACACTTCCAGGGATGGGGCATCCACAACTTCTCTAGGTAACCTGTTCCAGTAAAAATCCCTTCCCAATAGCCAATATTAATCTGCCCCCTTTCAGTTTAAAACTCCTACTCCTCAACAAATCCCTGCACTCCCTGACAAAGCGTCTTGCAGGATCTCTAGAACAGCCCCTCATTGAGATAAAATAGTAGAAGTTATCCTCCTAAATAGGCTTTAAGCCAAACATTTCCAACATTTAGACCTTTTGTAGGTGGAATTGATCCCAGCACCATAAAAAACACCCTTTACCCCATGTAAATCCTGCAAGCCCAAGAGTTAATAACTTTCTTTATTGCTCAAAGCTTGGAAGAGGGAGAGAAGGGAATCAGACACATTTCTTGATGACTAAATAAAAGGTTTTAAAGAAACCTAACTTTTTACCCATATTTGGTGTTATTTTTAGATTTACAAGAATAAAAAACTCTTTTCACACAGCCCAGAACTCAAGACTATAGTTAAATAAGCATAGTTATACACATACATATCTTTTAAATAAGTTAGCTCTGCTCCTAACAACTGAAGTCTCCTGGGGGTTCTTTTTCAGGTCTCAGGGACCATGGATGCGTTAATGACACTCTCATGTAGCTTGGCTGTATTTCCCTTTATTAAAGTTGTATCATCCATTTTAGGCACAATTCATTCTAAATCCCAAACTTAAACCTCTACAAAAGGTTAAAAATATATATTTAGAATTAATGAAATTCAAATTACACAGTTTCTCAAAGCCAGTGTACTTGTAAAATGAACCCTCTCACTGCAGCAGGGATAAGTGAAGCTTAAAATGACATTATAAAAAAAAAAGGCATTTTTGCCCTGTATGGATCAACTATTTTATAAAATATTGCCTCTCTTCTGAGGAGAAGTGAAAACCTGCTGTTCCTGCAAAAAACATGAGTGATTTCATCTAGGAGAGCACAAGATGGGGGCAGTGAGGGAAATACCATATGAAACACCAGTATGGCACCATCTGGGTGATTCCCAAGTCACAAGAACACTGACTGCAAGGAAAGGAGATTAAATGAGACACAATAATTACAGAAATTAATCCTGCATAAATGAAAATCAATGGAAGAATGCCTTAAGTTTCCCTTTTTTTTTTTTTTTTAATTTCTTATTAGTAATTGTTTGTGCTACCTTTGTCTTATGAAACTCTCTTTCATGTTTAGGTTGGCCAGTCACCAGGCTCTCATTTTGATGACCCTCCAACTGGAGACTGGGTTCCTGTTTGAGATCCTAATCATCTCCGCCACATTTTGAACAGAATCAGAGATCTTTCTGTCTTCTGATGCGTTTTTAGAGCAGTTACCATTAACTTTTAGTTAGAACTTTCTGATGTGTTTCCTTAAAGTGCATGAGAGAGGTGGGGTCTGTATAAATTTTGCGCAGGGTAGAACAAGCAAAGAAAAATTTTAACATGGAAACATGCAAATAGATGCATGCAACATTATCAGGGGAAAATAACTTTACCTGAAACAAAGGTAATAAATGAAGAAAGAAATGTAAAAAATCTACAAAACAGTGCTAGAGGAATCAACAACCCAGTAAATTAGACATGAATTTGTAGTGAAATAAGGTAAGAGAAAATTAGTTCAGTCTTCCCTGTATAAAGGATTCTTGTGATCTACACATTTAATCTTTGCCTCTCTCTGTCATGCTCTCTTTCTGTCTCTGGAAAATAATTCTCAAATTGTCAGAACTAAATAGCTTTTTAATTAAAAAAAAGAAACCACACCAGAAATTTGTGCAGAAACACAGAACATTTTCAAAGGTAAAGGATAGAATTTTTTAACATTTGAAAACAAAATCAAGTAGAAAGGTTTAGAGAATATGACTAAAGAAGAACACAGCAAAGAAAAACAGATACAAGTAGGTTTTCTGAGTGCAAATTGCTAGGATGTAAAAATAATAATGATGGTCTTTGAGGAGAACCATTTTTTCAGTGAAGTGTAAGTAAGAATAATTAAAAATCAGGATGGAGAAAAATATGGGGGCAATGCTCTTGACAAGAAGCTCTCCAAAGGTGGGAAAGCCTCTCCAAGGCAACTCTGGCATCTCAACCCCTTATCCTGTGCATTTGCCCAGGACAAAGCAATTTAAATGGAAAGAACAGCCTTGCAGTTTCAGGGGAAAAGTAACTAAGGGGTTACTAAGGAAAGGGTTGAAACATCAACTTCTTAACCTCAGTAGTCCAATCACAGGAAGACTGTGCACAGACTAGGAAATCCATATCCAGGGCAGCAGAAGGCCATGCACATTGAAAGAAGAACTAATGAGGCAGATCTAACACCTTCCATGCCTGATATTCCAGCACTGTGAGACTGAAACCCCTTTACTAGACCAAGAACTGTGGATTGACTTTCCCTTCTGGTCTGGGCAATGCACATTCTTGTCATTGGTCTAGATAGAAATTTAAATTTGTATGAAATATATCTTTCAATAAGATTTTGAAAACATTGTTCTGAGGAGTGAATCAATGGTTAAGAAGTACCTTGCAGTTAACATTTTCAGCAGCATAACATAATTTGTTTAACCTATTGTTTAAGTCAAGGGGAGCAGGGATAGGTTTTACATCTGTTTTTTTATCAGATACATGCTTATTGGAAGTTTTAAAGTAAGCCTTTTTGGCTTTGGCTAATGGGTTTTAAATAACTACCAATGCTAGCTTGAAGCAAAGCACCTTTCTTGAAATACACATTTATTGTTTTTTGAATGACTAACACTGACTTAAACAGTGATATCAAAATAAAAATCTAATACTCAGTATGAATTTATAGCAGTGAAACAATGTTAGCTGAAATTCATCACAGCAGCTCAGCAAGAGGCCTGTGATGACTACAGAACAAGTATACAATCAATTACAGCCTGACTGGCAAGTTGTGGCACTCATATTTTCTGGAAAAATCCCTTCACCCAGGATTTTGCTCCTGGGAAGTTGAGAAGCCTCAGAGAAAAAGGAAAACAATAATTATTTGATTTGCTTCTCCTGTGTTTTGCTCCTTTGGGATGTGTTTGGAGATTGTTTACCAACAGGTGGTTGTTTCATTGGTTTCATGTGAATTGTTTTGACTTACTGGACAATCAGGTCAAGCTGTGTCGGGGCTCAGTAAAGAGTCACCAGTTTTTATTATCTTTTTAGCCTTCTGTGAGTATCCTTTCTGTATTCTTTAGTAAAGTTTAGTATAGTCTTCTTTAATATAATATAGTATCATAATAAATTAGCCTTCTGAGAATATGGAGTCAGATTCGTCATTCCTTCCTGCCATGGGGCACCCTGCAAATACAATAGCAAATCACCTGGCAGTGAATTTGTTTTCATGTAAGTTTTCATAGTTAGTTCCCCTCCATTAAAAACAAAAAATATAGAGTGAACAAATTATGGGTGATAGAGCACTCCAGAGCAGAATGAATGTTATAACACCACAAGCAAATTTTATCTAAATGTCATAATTTCTCAAAGTGATTTCAGTAAAACTACTTCATTCCTCTGTTTGTATTTCCATATGCTCACAAGTTAATGGAGGAGTTATAAGCACAATATCCTTTGGTTTAGTGCATCTTCCAAAAAGCTTTAATTGCGAGGGCGCCAGTCCTTGAAAGCAATTTGAACATTTATTCCCTTCCAGTCTCCTTCATTTCATTATATTTTAAGTACATATGTGATTTTCATGAATGGTCATTGCACAGGTCAGGTCAATCAAAGACTACCATATTAATGATTAGGTCAAGCATTATTACTGGCAGGTATTCTCCTCTTTTTCTAATTGCTTTTAACTGGTGAATGACAAGCCTACTCAAAGAGCTTTTATACTTTATTGCTATGATTTTTATCCAACTCTGCTGTCTTTCCAAGTGTCATTGACTATTAACAATGGTCTCTACACAGAGAACTGTAAAGGGCAAGTAGTGATTCACTTTAAAATATTTTCTTTTCTTTTACCAAGAAGAGATGTAATCATCCAAATAATTGTATTTATATTGCCTCTAAATCTGCTATTTATGAAATAAGTCTATGTTAAGGGACTTTAACAGGGATTTCATCCATTTTAAAAGAGGTAAAAGCTGAATTAATTCATAGATCTGGCTTTAGTTCAGTAGTAAAAGAAGCCAAAAGAGTCCAGTTACAGAGTACTTATCCAGCTCATTGGAGAAAGTGACTGAAGGCAGAAGAAAAAAGTCTAACTCTTTCCAACATTTGGTGCAATTTCATTTTTGAGAATTGAAAGCAGAAGCCAGGCTGCAGTGATATATATTTTTATACCATATAAATATAATTGTCCTGCAGTAAAATTCTGTAGATAATAATTTGGCTTATTCATAAATACAACCTCATGTTGTAAAGCTGCATTCATAGGCCTGACACCACTTTAAAAGCACACCAGGTGCTTTCATCAAGACATTTTTATACATTAGATAATGGCACAGCCTTCATGAGGAATGAAGAACAGCTTTAACTAAACAGTAAAGTAAAAAAAATACAGAGCATTAAAAAAATCCGTTCATATATTCATGATATGAACCTGCCTCAGAGGGCTCTTTGACAAATAATTGAAAAAAGTTGAAATACAAACACACTAACAAAAGCTCAATTTCATACAAATGGTGTTTCTTAAGTGGCTGATTCATTGACCCTGTACAATAGGCAGTCTCACAAGTAATCTTTTCCTTCTCTCTCTCTATTTGCCATTTTTGCAGTTTGGTTATCTTATAACAATGTTGCAAGCTATCATCCTCTTAAGAGCCATGAAGGTCTCTAGAAAGAATTAAAATATTCAAGTAAATGTACTGAAAAAGAAAAGAAAGCTGGTATAATTTCAACAGAAGACCTGCTAGTGGGACATAATATGTAGGCAGAAAAGAAGTGCAATAAAAATATGGAAAAAAGAGAAATAGAGTGATCTGCAACTGTAAAACTAGTGAGATAACTGCACTTGATAAGACAGACAAAATTCAGTCTGCATGGAGAGCTAAAAACAATAGAAAATGGAAGAGTTAATAACTCTTGGAATGCATTTGAAACTAATTAAAGGGAAAAGAGTAATGAACTGTGCTGAAAGCAAAAACTATTAAAATGTGAGGACATTATGAACAGCCTTCTGGACCTGGTTATTTCATATTTGCAGTAATCACTCTGGCCAAAAAAAAATTTTAAAAGCTAGTTAAATGCACTCATTAGAAAGTTAATCTTTAGTGCAAACATAGGGCAGGACTGCAAAATTACATTAAAATACAGATTTGAGATATTAAGCTAGAGAAATCCAATAAAATTTAGTAAACAATGGCAAACATTTGTGTTATGAAATAATATCTCATAACCAGGAACAAACACAGTAATGAAGATAAGTGCTCATTGGATCCACTGAGTATCCAACCTCAGGATAGCTTTTGGAATATAGAAAGACATGTTAGGGAAATCAGGGATTGTGGTACACCAGAATAACACCTACAAAAAGAGCCTGGTTTGCTTAGCCCAGAAAAATAAAGGCTGGCAGCAAGTGCAAAATGACAAAGGTGGTTTGAAGGATGTTAAATAGAGAACATAGATGTTAAAGAGAGATCATGTAAAGAAGATCATGTAAAGAAGAATTTTGTCTTAGAGAAAACAGATAAAATAAACAATCCATAAAAATAGAGACTACTAGGTTCTTTTCATCAAAATGAAATCTTCCAGCAGGAGAAATGAGGAAAAGCAAAACACAAATTCTGTTAGAGTCACCACCAAAACTTATATCTAAATTATGGGGGGTTTGTCCCTACCTTGATGTTTAGATGTTTACCAGGAAAGGTGAGTGTTAGCATATTAATTCCTATAACCCTGTTGAAATTCATAGAATAAGACTTTATTGTACCTAATTTTAAACCTCTGTAGTAGAAGTTTCCTTATCAGCTAGTTGT